CCTTCCGCTGCACGCTCCGCGAGCCGACCGTGCTGCTCTGCACCATCTTGCCGCGGGCGCTGCAATCGTTGGCTGGAGCTTCTCGAGCCAGAAGATGTTTCCATCCAGCGGCGCCATGACCCGAGGACCCGCTGGACATGCACGGCTCCAACGTCCATCGACCGCACCCCCGAGAGACCTGCCTCCGCGGCACGAGCCGATGATTGGCGCAACTCTTCTGGAAGCGCTGGCCCGCCCCACTCCACGCAGCTGGTCCTGAAGCCAAACACGAGATCCCGACAAGCTGGCTCACTTCGCGGCGCCGCTGGACCCGCTCCGCGACCTCCTGCGGAGGGCGATGAGATCCCCGCTGCGGAGCGTTGCCAGCGGAGGCGGGGGCCCGCGGTGACGCCGCCCGCCGGCCAGGTCCTCGGCCACCCCCGCGAGCGCAGCGCCTTGGGCCCCCGGAACAAAGGCAACCCGACGGCGGCACCGCCGAGGCGACTCGGGCCCGACGGGCGGCGCGCGCGACGGGCTAGGGGGAGAAAAGAAAGCCTCTCAGAAGAAAAAAACTGTTTCTCAGAGGAGGCGCCGGCACCACGGGGGGAAGGCTTCTCTCAGAAGGGCGCGGTTTCTCAGAGAAGGCGCCGGCCCCACGTCTATCAATGAGGCCTGCGCCTCCCTGACAGGCGAGGGTGCTCCTGAGAAGCCCTCTCATGGAAGCCTCCCAGCTGGGGCCCTAACAAATGAAGTCGGGGGATCGCGCCGCATCGCCGACACATCGGCGATACATCGGCGATGCATCGTCGACGCCTCGGCGACGCATCGGCGACGACGGCGTGGATAAAAACGGGTTCCTCATCTAGCCGCATCGCCAATGCATCGGCGATGCGGACTGATCCTCCGACCCCATCCACTCCGACCCTATCTGGGGGACTTAGATCCCACCTCCACTTATTTACCAGAGGAACGGAATCCCCGGCAAACGTGGGATGTAAAGGTGATGCTATGTTGGTCTCACTACTGTTCTGGACAGGTCGCTTCAACATAGCTGCACAATCGGGAGAGCTGACATGTATAGGATATGTGAGCGCGGGCGGAAGACGACGACGCGGCGACGACCCGAAACACTCCCTTCTCCCTGATGCCAGGCCGGCCCGCGGTGCCGACCAAGCATTTCCAACCCAAGCACAGCTGCGGATGCACGACACCGCGCAGCAGCCAAAAGGCGGCGGCGGCGGCAAAGAAGCGGCAGGGGAAGATGCCAAACAACTCCTCCCCCCTGCCCCACCCCACCCCTGCGCGTGGCCGAGCGGCGCCGCCTCCGTCGGCGGCGACGCGGTCCCGGGGCCGCAGCGCAGCCCACGGGCCACGCACCCGTGCGCGAGCACGCGGGCGTGCTCTTGTTCGGCGTGTCGACACTGGGCGGAAGGGGGGGGGGAGAGGGGGGGGTCTGGCTCCAGGCCTCTGCTTGGTGCGACTGCTTGCAGCAGTGCGTCGTCCATCATGAGGGAGGCTCCGCCTGCCCGAAGCTGGCGCCAGAAACAGCCAAAATCTACTCCAAGGGGGGGTGGGGGGCAGGAGAGCCCAGGATCGAATCGATAAGTCGGATCGGTGATCGAAATAAATCGGATCGGGTGAAATCGGCAGCCGAGTCGGGAAAAGACGAATCCGTAGACATCGGCAAGTCAGTATGCCTCCATTGAGAGAAATCGGAGCCCCAATCGGGATCCGATGTTGGACCGAATCGGAAGCGGAATCCATCGAAAACGAACCGGATCGCATCGCATCGGAGGAATCGAAACGATGCACTGGATGGGAGGGCCCGCGCCGATCGGCAAAACAACGAATCCGCTGACCATGTTGGCGTGTGGGAGAAGCTTTCCCGTGTTCCCCACAGCGTCGTCGCCTGATCTGCTTTCCGAGGGCTTCCTACACAAGTCCACACTAAAACTAAACAACGTCATCCTTCAGTCGAAAGAAAACCCCTTCCCTTGATCCCTTCCCCGCCGGGGGGGGGGGCGGTCCCGGGGCAACTCCCTGGGGGTGGTTCCCCCTCACTCCCGGGGGGGGCCCCCCCTCGGATACGCAGCCCCCCGCCTCTCATCCTCCTGCGTCCTGGGGTTCCGTTGGCCCTCCGGGGCCGTCTGTGGGCCCTTTGATCCCTTCCCCGCCGGAAGGGGGGGTCCTGGGGCAACTCCCGGGGGGGGTCCCCCGTGAAAAAAAAAGAACGCCCCAAGGATCCGTTCCCGTTCCCGTTCCCGTTCCCGTCCCCGTTCCCGCTCCCGCTCCCGTTCCCGTTGTCGTCGCCGTCGTCGTCGTCGTCGTCGTCGTCGTCGTCGCCGTCGTCGCCGTCGTCGTCGTCCCGTCGTGGTCGTCGCGGTCGTGGTCTCCGTCCACCCTGAAGGGGGGTCAAGAGGGAGGCTCCAGAAAGGCTGCGGACGCTTGGAAGCCCGTTGGGCTCTCCTGAGAGGCCTCTCGGGGGCCTCTTGGAAGCATGTTGCAGGTCTCTTGGGGCCGGTAGGGGTTCTCTTGGGGACGTCAGGGCGGAGGACTTGGGGGTCTCCTGGGAGTTCGTTGGCGGTCTCGGAAGGTCTCTGTCAGACGCCTACGGCGAATCACCGCCGCCCCTTGCCTTTTGGAAACGCCGACGCGGCCGAGCGTCGCGGCGAAGTTTGGCCCAGGTGTTGGACCAGGTGTTCCCCCAGCCGTCGTTGAAACCCTTGGGGAAAACACTTGGGTGAGGAAGATGGGGGAGGAGCAGGATAGAGGGGGATGATGGTGATGATAACGAAGAGGCACACGAGATGATAAGGAGGGGGGGGGGAGGCCTCTTGGAGGCATTTTGGGGCTTCCTGCGGGCTTTTGGAGGCCACTTGGGGCTGTCTGGATTCCTGTTCGGGCAATCTTGGCCGTCTTGGAGGGTATCTTCGGTCGCCTCGGGGGCCATGCAGGGCCGTCCTGGCAGTCTTCGACGGCATGCTGGCCGTCCTGGAGGCCACACTGGACCATCTTAGCACGCTTGAATGCAATCTCTTACGTGTCTTAGGCCATCTTGGAGGCAATCTTATCCGTCCAGGAGGTCATATTGGCCGTCGTGGAGGCCATCCCCAGCGTAGCCCACCCAGCCATGGTTCTGTTAATGCACTCGTACATATCCAGCTGCCTGCGGCAATTCCCGCCACCGTGGTGATGATGATGATGATGATGATGATGCTGATGATAATGATGATGATGATGATGATGATGCTGATGCTGATGATGAGGATGATGAGGATGCTGTTGCTGATGACGACGATGATTATGATGACGACGATGATGATGACGATGTTGATGGTGATGACGATGACGTTGACGATAACGATGACGAGTATGATGCTGTTGATGATGAATAGTAGTAGTAGTAGTAGTAGCAGCAGCTGCAGCAGTAGTAGTAGTAGTAGTAGTAGTAGTAGTAGTAGTAGTAGTAGTAGTAGTAGTAGTAGTAGTAGTAGTAGTAGTAGTAGTAGTAAGTAGTAGTAGTAGTAGTAGTAGTAGTAGTAGTAGTAGTAGTAGTAGTAGTAGTAGTAGTAGTAGTAGTAGTAGTAGTAGTAGTAGTAGTAGTAGTAGTAGTAGTAGTAGTAGTAGTTAGTAGTAGTAGTAGTAGTAGTAGTAGTAGTAGTAGTAGTAGTAGTAGTAGTATAGTAGTAGTAGTAGTAGTAGTAGTAGTAGTAGTAGTAGTAGTAGTAGTTAGTAGTAGTAGTAGTAGTAGTAGTAGTAGTAGTAGTAGTAGTAGTAAGTAGTAGTAGTAGTAGTGGTCGTAGTAGTAGTCGTAGTAGTAGTAGTAGTCGTCGTCGTAGTCGTAGTAGTAGTAGTAGTTTATTTTTAGTGGTAGTAGTAGTCTACTTACTACTACATACTAGTAGCAGTAGTAGTAGTAGTAGAGCAGCAGTAGTAGTAGTACTAGTAGTAGCAGTAGTAGCAGTAGTAGCAGTAGTAGTAGTAGTAGTAGTAGTAGTAGTAGTAGTAGTAGAAGTAGTAGTAGTAGTAGAAGTAGCAGCAGTAGTAGTTGTAGTAGTAGTAGTAGTAGTAGAAAAAGAAGAAGTAGTAGTAGTAGTAGTAGTTGTAGTAGTAGTAAAATAATAGTAGTAGTAGTTGTACTTGTAGTAGTAGTAGTACTACTAGTAGTAGCAGTAGTAGTAGTAGTAGTATAGTAGTGGTAGTAGTAGTAGTAGTAGTAGTAGTAGTAGTAGTAGTAGTAGAGTAGTAGTAGAGTAGTAGAGTAGTAGAGTAGTAGTAGTAGTAGTAGTAGTAGTAGTATTAGTAGTAGTAGTAGTGTAGTAGTAGTTAGTAGTGGTAGTAGTATAGAAGAAGTAGTTTAGTAGTAGTAGTAGTAGTATAGAGTAGAGTAGTAGTAAAGTAGTAGTAGTAGTAGTAGTAGTAGAAGTAGTAGTAGTAGTAGTGGTAGTAGTTTTAGTAGTAGTAGTAACAGTAGTACGTGGTAACTAAGTTACGTAGTAGTAGTAGCAGGTAGCAGTAGTCGTATACTAATACTAGTAGTTAGTACTAGTAGTAGTAAGTAGTAGAGTAGTAGTAGTAAGTAGTAGTTTTATACGAGTATAGTAGTAATAGTCGTAATAATAGTAGTAAGCAGTAGTAGTAGTATTAGTTAGTAGTAGTAGAGTAGCAGTCGTAGGTAGTAGTAGGATTAGTAGTTAGTAGTGTAATAGTAGTAGTAGTAGTAGTTGTAATAGTAGTGTAGGTTGTTAGTTTGTAGTTGTATAGTGTAGCAGTAGTAGTTAAAATAGTAGTAGTAGTAGGAGTAGAAGTAGTAGTAGTAGTTGTAGTAGAGTTATTAGTAGTAGTAGTAGTAGTAGTATTAGTAGTACTACTATTAGTCGTAGTAGTACTATTAGGTAGTAGTACTAGTAGTAGTAGTAGTAGTAGTAGTAGTAGTAGTAGTAGTACTAGTAGTAGTAGTAGTAGTAGTAGTAATAGTAGTAGTAGTAGTAGTGGTAGTAGTAGTAGTAGTAGTAGTAGTAGTAGAAGTAGTAGTAGTAGTAGTATGAGTATAAGTATAAGTAGCAGTAGTAGTAGTAGCAGCAGCAGTAGTAGTAGTAGTAGTAGTAGCAGTAGTAGTAGAAGTAGTAGTAGTAGTAGTAGTAGTAGCAGTAGGCCTCTGGGAGGCCTCTGGGAGGCCTCTTGGGTCGTCTGGGAGGCCTCTGGGAGGCCTCTTGGGTCGTCTGGGAGGCCCTGGAAGGCCGTGGAAGGCTTGCCGTTCCTGTTCCCGTTCGCGTTTCTTGGGTCGGCTAGAAGGCTTAGGGGGGGTAGACGGGCACGCGACCGGGCGGGAACGGAACGGGAACGGGAACAGGAACGGAACGGGAACGGGAACGAGAACGGGAACGGAACGGGAACGGGAACGAGAACGGGAACGGAACGGGAACGGGAACGAAAACGGGAACGGGAACGGGAACGGGAACGGACCTATAGGGCGTTCTCGCCCTTTTACGGGGGTCCCCCCTCGGATACGCAGCCCCCCGCCTCTCATCCTCCTGCGTCCTGGGGTTCCATTGGCCCTCCGGGGCCGTCTGCGGGCCCTTTCAGCCTATCTTAAGGCTCCTTGGAGACCTTTCGCAATTTGTTTACTCTCTTGGCAGCCTCTGGCGGCACTCTTGACAGCCTCTGCGGGCGCTTTTGGACCTCGCTTGACGCCGTCTTGGAACCCTCTCGGGAAACTTGAGGACGCTTTGCCTATCTTGGCACTCTCTGGAGCCGTTCCCGAACCCTGGAGGAGGCCATAGAGCTGTCTTCGGACGACCTTGCAGGCATCTGGCGCCGTCTTCGAGCCATCTGAGGGCATCTTGGACTCCTCTAGCTCTATTGCCTTCGTCGTCGCTGCCTACAGGGTCGGCGGCATCGGCTGCAAAGCCTTCGCAATTCTTCAAAACAAAAACAAAACAAAAACCAAAACAAAACAAAACAAAAACAAAACAAAAACAACAACAAAAAACTTCTCCCTCGGAGGCCTGCCTCGGGCGAGGCGCGGCGGCGCCCGCCCCAGCGGGGGGGGGGCGGGGCCCCCGCGCGGGCGCGGGCGGCCTCGCCCGGGCCTCGCCCGTCCGCGCCGCCCGCGTCCCCGGCGTGCGCTGCTCTCTCCGGCGCCGCGCGAGCGGCAGCGAGGAGGGCGAGGAGAGGGCGAGGAGAGGAGGAGCGGGGGGGCAAGGGACGAGGGGAACAGAGAAGGAGTGGGAGGAGGGGGACGAGGGAGGGGGGGGGGGTATCGTTCAACCGATCCCCATCCCCAGCGGCGTGGCCTGGGCCCACGTGGCCGATTTGCCCCCCTAGATGGGGACATAGGTCGCTCCCTTCGGGTTTCGAGGGGCGTATCCCCAACTGGGGTGGCAATTTGGTGGGGGTCTCGAAGGGGAAGGGGATGGGGATGGGGATCGGTTCAACGATACCGAGAGGGGGGGGGAGGCGAGGAGAGGAGGAGCGGGGGGAAAGGGACGAGGGGAACGGGAAAGAAGGGGGAGGAGGGGGACGAGGGAGGGGGGGGGGAGAGGGGTGACGATGCGACGCGCGGCTTCGCAAGGTGCAGGGGGACGAGGGAGGGGGCGGGGAGAGGGGAGGGGGGAGGGAGGCGAGGCGCAGAGGAGGGGCGGGAGGGTGAGCTTGCCCCCCTTTCCCCTCTGTCCCTCCCAAGGATGTGGGAGCGGAAGAGCACGACCGGTCGGGCGCGCGGTTATTCCCTGAGAGCCCCAACTCCCCGATACCTTCACTGGATGCCCGTCGCCAAGCGCTCGGCGCCTGGAACTAAATGCCTTGCGCTACGCGCCCTTCGTCAGAATTTGCTAACGCCCCTTTGACAAAGTCTGACAAAATCTGAACTTTGTATTTGATCTGCTCGATTCATCCACAAAGGCCACCTGGCTCTGAACAGGACTCTGGAGGCCGAAACTCCAACAGATCGCCCATCGCGAACGTCTCAAGAGAACCCACGTTTCGGGCATTGTCACAGTGCTAGTGTGGCTTCGCCGGCCCTGCTCACCCGACTCGCACCAGAGAGTTCGCACATCTGAAGGGGCCCAGGGACACACAAGTAATACACACAAAGCCAAAGATTCCCCAGATGTTCTCGTATTTCCTGGATGCCCGTCTTCCCTCCCACTTCCGATATTTTCCCATTTTTCAGGGAATCGACGATTGAGTGTGTCTGTGTATGTTTCCCCTCCTGAACATCTCCCTTCACCCCTACGCCAACTGAAGCTAAGCCATGGGCAGATGCTGCCGACCAGCTCCTCGCAAAAGGCGGCTCGGATGGACATGCAGGCTATTAAGACTCAACTATCCACGCAGCATTGTGCAGATGACTCTCGCCATCCTTCTGTAGAGCGGAGAGGGGGACTGCGAAGCTGTGATATCCATTGGCTCCTAGACTAGAACGAAAGGGACCGTCCCACTGTCGGAGGCTTTTGTGCATGTGTCAAGGGTGTGCGCATGAGCTCAGCAAGAGATGTGCTCGTCTGCCTCGGCGCTGGCAGCACAACAATGGGTAAACTGACGACGGCAACGAACGATGAATGAAATACCTTGACCAGCTGCACCAATAACTCGGCATTGGCATCGGTCATTCAACACTCCAGTCTAATTCCACCAACCCTTTACGGCGTGAGTGCTTTAAAGCATTTCCTCTTCCAATTCTCTTCTTCCCCTTCGGGGAGGGGTTTACCCCTCCCCCATACCCCCCCTCCCGTTGGACCTGGACAGGGCGCCCCGCGACCGATTAGAGTGTCCAAGACGGTCTCGGTGAGAAAGGCGAACGTTAGCGTTTTACGTGGGATGCGGACACAGTTTGGCATCCTGGGGGTGCGGCTGTACTCCACCCCCAGACCTCTCTTTGATCGATCTCCTCCAAGATGTTCCCAAGATGGCTCCCAAGAGTGCTCCAAGTGGGCCCCGAAAGGCGCCCAGGAGGCCACAACATGTCCCCAGGAGGTCCTGAAGAGGTAAGAAACCCCTCAAGACGCCCCAAGAGGCTCTCCCGAGGCACCCAAGACGTTCCAAGAGGCCCCCAGGACCGCCAAGAGGCCCCCAAGACGCCCCAAGAGGACTGCAAGAAGGTTCCTACTCCTCGTCCTACTCCTCCTCCTCCTCCTCCTCGTCCTCCTCGTCCTCCTCCTCGTCCTCCTCCTCCTCCTCCTCCTCCTCCTCCTCCTCCTCCTCATCCTCCTCATCCTCCTCCTGCTCCTCCTCCTCCGCCTCCTGCTCCTCCTCCTCCTCCTCCTCCTCCTCCTCCTCCTCCTCCTCCTCCTCATCATCATCATCATCATCTCATCATCATCATCACATCATAATCATCATCATAATCTCATCATCTCATCAGTATCATCATCATCATCATCATCATCATCATCATCAGCATCAGCATCAGCATCAGCATCATCAGCATCATCAGCATCATCATCAGCATCAGCATCAGCATCAGCATCAGCATCATCAACATCATCATCAGCATCATCAACATCAACATCATCATCAGCATCATCATAATCATCATCATCAGCAGCATCAGCATCGCCATCATCATCATCACCATCATCATCACCATCGTCATCAGCAGCAGCATCAGCATCATCATCATCATCAGCAGCAGCATCAGCATCAGCATCATCATCATGATCATCATCATCATCCTCATCCTCATCCTCATCAGCATCCTCAACATCATCATCATAATCATCAGCATCAGCATCAGCATCAGCATCATCATCAGCATCAGCAGCAGCATCATCAGCATCATCATGTTCATCCTCATCGTCATCGTCATCATCATCAGCAGCATCATCAGCATCATCAGCATCAGCACCATCATCATCAGCAGCAGCAGCATCATCAACATCATCATCATCATCATCATCAGCATCATCATCATCATCATCATCATCATCATCATCATCATCATCATCATCATCATCATCATCATCATCTTCATCATCTTCATCATCCTTCACCCTTTTTTTCCTCCTCCTCCTCCCCTCCTTTCCCCCTCCTCCCCCTCCTCCTCCTCCTTCGCCATCTCCCCCTCCTCTCCCTTCTCTCCCTTCCCCCCGTCCTCCTCCTCCTCCTCCTCCTCCCCCTCCGCCTCCTCGTCCTCCACCTCGTCGTCCTCCTCCTCCTCCTCGTTCTCCTCCTCCTCATCCTCCTCTTCCTCCTCCTACTCCTCCTCCTTTTCCTCCTCCTCCTCCTCCTCCTCCTCCTCCTCCTCCTCTTACCTCCTCCTCCTGAATCCTCCTCTCTCCTCCTCTACGCGGGCTTGCCAGCAACTTCGTGAACGCCAAGAAGGAAAAGGGGAGGCCGACGAGATGGCCGAGCAGCACGAGTAAGTCTCTTTCGTCGTCGCGGTTTTCTTCGTCAAGGGCTGGAGGCGGGGGTGCCCCTGTCGCGGGCATCCCTCGTTCCCTTCATGTTCTGAGGAGGGCACCAGCTGTGTCAAGCGTTGGCTTCGGCTTTCGTCCTGGGGTAGCTCGGTTGTCACTCGCGCCTACGGGCGCCCTTTTAGAATCCTCTGTAGAGTGTTCCTCCTTTTCCTCTTCCTCCTCCTCCTCCTCCTCCTCCTCCTCCTCCTCCTCCTCCTCCTCCTGCCCCTCCTTCTCCTCTTCCTCCTCCTCCGCATTTTCCGCATCCTCCTCTCCCAATTCCTCCCCCTTTTGGGGTACGACGGTTTCCCCAGCCCGCGATTTCACTGCGTGCTCCTCCACATCCCTGATACGGGCAACTCGCCCGGGCATCGTTCCTGAATGGGTTGGTCGAATTACGCGAGCCGTCCAGCATTCGGAATATCATGGCAGGCAGACACGTCCCTGACGTGCCCAATAAAAACGAGCCACTGAAATGGCTTTGGCGGCGATGCACCTGCGCCCCCTGTCGTACCCAAGCACGCACAGCATTCAAATCCCTCCGGGGTCCCCAATCGATTTGAGCTGAACTCGAACGGCACTTCCCTCCGTTGGTTACTGCGTTTCCTCCTGCGCTGACAAATGACGAGCCAGCGCTGCTTGCTCGGCGGCGCAGGCCTCTCCACAACAGGGAAAGCTGGGGGAATGATGAGGGATGGGAGATGGAGGAGGAGGAGGAGGAGGAGGAGGAGGAGGGGTGGGAGGAGGGGAGGGAGGAGGGGAGGGAGGAGGGCAGTGAAGAATTAGGAAAATGGGGGGGAGGAGTAAGGGACGGAAGGAGGAAAAAGGCAAGTGGTAGAAAGAAAAAGATGAAATGATTAGAATAGGAGAAACAGGAAGAGAAAGAGAGAGAGAGAGAGAGAGCGAGAGAGAGAGGGCAGTTAGTCCAGGCCTAACGGGGATTGACTGGCACTCAGGACTACCTTACACTGAAGGGAAATGCCGCAAATCCAATAAGGGAAATAGAAAATGAAGAAAACACACACACACACACACACACACACACACACACACACAAAAAAAAAAAAAAAAAAAAAAAAAATGTCCCCACTGGCGGGGACTAGGGGTGTTCCCGACTGAAATTTGAACGGGCCCACGTTGATCAGGGAAGGCCACATCTGCTCACCCGAGCAGAAGGCGCCGGATGCCAGGGCGCTTTGGCCTGCGCGCATCTGCACCTCAGCGACCCGCGGCGCCACCTTGGGGATCTCCCTCAGCGGCCACGGAAGAGATGCCAATTGTTCACGCAGCGCACCCGAGAGAGAAAAGGTCAGCACCCGCGCGCCAGCGGTCAGCTTCGAGGCGCGCCTGGAGCTGTCCTGGAGAGTGACCCTGGGAGAGGCGGCCAGACGGAACCTGCTGCAGGTCTTTCCAGGCGGACTGAGCCCGTTGGAATCTGTCAAACAGAAAGCTAGGCTGCTGCTGGATGGCACGAATGGCATGCCGAAGGTTGGTGGCTCGCTGCTGCAGCGACGCTGTTGCATGGCAGCCATGAGGTGCTGCGCGAGGGCGCGCCTGCCATCCGTTCGCTGCATTGGCGCTGCACCGCTGCCTACACCCTACTGGGTGCAAGGCGGTCGCCGGTTCCCGGCCCCCGCGCCCTGGTGGGAGGGGGAAACGACCTGGGCCACGCGGCGCCCACCCCCCCTTTCTGGGCACCGCCCCCGAGTGACTTTGGCGACGCTGGTCCGCGCCGTCGCCGACGGCGCCGCGACCGCCCATGGAGCAGCAGAAAGTTCATCGTCGTTGTCCAAGGCCCCGCCCAACCCAAGCAGTTCCGCGCCATCTCCCGCGAAGTCCCCGACCAAGACCCCCATGGGGCGTCGAGATCGCAGAAGTCACGCCCTAGCGAGCCCCGCGGCTACGAGGGGTCGCCTGACGGGCCCAGCGGCTCGTCGCAACCTTAGTATTTGGCGAGCAGGTTGTGCTTCATCTGAGTTCAGCTCTAGAAGAGAAGCCCGCACGTCTGCCCGACAAGGACGACGCGCGGTGGCGACGGACGTAGATCGCGACAGCGGTGATTTTCAAAGCCGCTGCGAATTTGCGCCACCGCTTGTTCCATCGATGGCATCCCGCTGCCGGGCGCGCAGGCGTGCCCCAGCAGTGGCAGGCTCATCTGCGCGGCAATTGAAGCCTCCGCGATCGGCGTTACACTGCCTTCATTTAGCCCGCAAAATGGCTTGCGACTCTTTGGAACTTGAGCATGCCAGGTCTGACTGACATGGATTGTTGCCAGACATTTGCGCGCGGACCGGGCCAAGCCGCGCACCCGAGCCGAGTCGTTCAGTCGGCACTCAGGCCCGCAATTGACTCCGAAGCCAGCCCCGGCAAGGAGCAGGCGAGCCTGGCGCGCGCAGGCCTCATCAGGCCGCAAAGACGCACCTGGCCCCCGCGCGGTCGCGGCGCATTCCTCGGAGAGGCCCTCTTCGGATCCCTCGAGAGGGGGCCGCGGAGTGGGCTGCGGGAGCTCGCCCTGAGCTGCCCTGGCGTCAAGGGCCTGCAGCTGCGGGTCTTCTTCGAGAAGCCCGCAATGCCCCGCGCGCGGCGGTGCGTCGCTCGACCGTTGATCACCAACCATGGTTCCAAAGAGAGCCCTCCCCATCCGAGCTGAAACATGTCCAGAGCGCGCGCCCCTGCGCCCCTTCTTCCACGCTGCGCCATCTGCGCGGCGGCGACGGGTCGGCCAGGGCGCCCGCGCGAACCCCCCTCTGCTGGGAGCGGCCACCGCCGCGAAGGCACGTGCAGAAGAGGCCGAGCTGCCAGGCAATGCATTTAGTTTTGCCGCTGGTCATGCGCAACCTGGCGTTGGCCCCCCCAAAAAAAGGAAAAGAAAAAACGACGCCCTGCGCGGCCGCGGCGACTGCGCCGAGGTCGCGCATGGCAGCGGGGGCGCGTCGGAAAAGGGGCGCCCTTCGCGACACTCGGCGCACGCGAGTGAGCAAGCCGACTGGAGGGCGCAGCAAAGCCACCCCCATGGAAGTTCTGCGCGCGGACGCGCAGCTCTTCGGCTCGATCGTTGAGACTGGTGTCTACCCACACCTGCCCCCGCAATCCGAAGAAAAAGCCTCCCCTCGCGCAACGGCGCCCAGCTCCAAGACATGCCCGGGCGCACTGAGACCGCAGAGGGTCCACCCGCGAGATCGAGGATTTCCCCGCTGGGACGCATGGCGGCAGACGTCGATTTGTCGCATAGATTACGCGCTCTTGCCCAGGGGGCTCGGACGTCGTCACCTGCGGCATATGCCCTAGCAACGAAAGACCTGACCGAGCGAGATGGGCGCGGCTTCCTCCGGGGAGACGCTTAACGCGGCAGTTGAACACCAGGTCGCTGGATGCTGGCACCCGCGGCGGGCGCCATATTCACGTTGGCAACATCCGCTACAGGTGCCACATTGTCGTAGCTCCCCAGGGGCCCCACCTGGCGTTCAGCTTGCAGCGACCGCCAATTAAGATCGAGTTCCACCCCCTGGCGTTGGAGCTCTTCGCCGACATCCCGACCCATAATTTCACCCGGGCGAAGTGGAGGCCTGAGAAGCGGTCGAATTGGACAGCCTCATCAAGTGAAGTTTGGAGCCCCTGCAACGAGCGCGGTGAAGTCACTGTCGTCGACGAGCATCACGCTCGGGGATCGCGGGACGCAGCGGCATCGTCTCTTGCTCCAGAAGCACATCAGGAGCTCGACGTCGTCAAAGGAGAGGAAGCCACCTTAGAGGTGGCCGCTGGCGCGTGCCAAGGATCGAGGACACGCCCCCCCCCCCGCCCCCCGGCGAATGCACCTGCGTTTTGTGTATCACGCGCATCTTCTGACGCCAGCAGCTCCCAGCGGGCACCCCGCGTGCACCGACGAATTCAAACGCATGCTGGCGACGAGGTAGTCGAAACATTATCCACTGACGAGTGCAGCTCCAGTCAGGGGGGCCCGGAGATTTTGGTCGCGCTCCACATGTAATGCCAGGGTGGTGCTGACGTCCAATGGCGGCGAAGCTCGCCGGGCGGGCCCAATGGGCCCTCCATGACGATGAGCTGCAGCAAGCTAGCGGCTCCCACTCGCGCATCCATATAGACACCACTGGGAGCAAGCGCTAAACAACTGGAATTTGTTCATAATGTGGAGGAGGGGCCCAGGCGGTTTCCACGTGCGTTGCACGGCACTTGGGGCTTTAGCAAAGACGCAAAGGACTCCGCCAGGCAGCGTCTCTGCTGCTCCGGCGGCCGATCTGTCTAGGCCGCCCGCTCTGACGGAAGGTCGGGCGCGGATGACGTGGATGAGCGCTTCGCCACTCAGGGCGACGGGCGAAAGGGGGGTCGGGGTCGGGGAACCCCCAGCGGCATTCCGCCCCAAACGCCTCCCGGGCGGGAGTAGCCTCGTCAGAGCAGCCCCTGCCTGTCGGCACCGCCACGAGCTCAAGTACGGCTCTCGCGTGTGCCAAGATTTGGTTTTGCTCGATTGGCGGGGAAGGGCCCTGGGAGCTCGACTCGCCCCCGCTGTCCGCGGCAGCGTCAGGAGGGGAAAGGGTGGATGTTCCACCGCTGTGTGACTGTGACTCTAATGACTCGCAGGTGGGGGGCCACTAAATTGCTGACTTGCCGCCACCAACGCGCCTGGCGGCGCGCCAAGGGGCCGCTGCGCGGCGCGCGCAGGCAAACCGCACTGGAGTTGCCAACTGCTGTGGGCCACCGGCTTTCCGCCCCACCTCCGTCTGCGGTTTTTATCGCGGTTCGCCTCGCAGCAATGTGGTAGGGTTTTCTCCGTTGGCGACACCCTTTCAGCTGCCCCTTTGCGGGGGCGATAAGGTTGCGCAGGTCGGCGGGGAGCTCGTCTGGGTCGCAGACGCACGCGGGCTCCGCGAGACAGGTGGGTCGCTGCCTTCGGGCACGGACGTCAGCCGCAATCCATGCGCGCACTCTGCGTTCCCACTGTGGAGGACGGCAGATGCCACGCGTGCTGCAGCACGCACGTTGCTGTCCCCAGTGGTCATTTACCCGTCTGAATGGACGCCGCAGGCCTGTCGAGAACGACGGCGGCGCGGCCTGCCGCGCCTCGGTCGGGCGGACCCAGACAAGCAGCACATGTCTCCAAAAAACGAAAACGTTGTGTTTCACCATGTCTCGTCGGCTCTTTGCGCGGTCCGCCCTGGTCCTGCGACGGACTTCTTCGGCGGAGCTCGGCGTGGAAGGCGCGCGCGCCGCCAGGTGGGAGAGGTCAAACACTCTGTCCACGTCGTTGGCTGCGTCACCCTCATCCACCAGGAGCACGGTGAGAGCATTCGATGCAGTCTCCAAAAAGTCGTTGCTCGTCCCAGTCCATAGACGGGTACATGACCGGAAATTGCGCCACCCCTTTCGTTCTCTTCGCCGGATGGCTGGCAACATCGAAGCCAAGCAACATCAAGGCCCCGAGATGTTGCTTGGTAGGGGAGATCGTGAGGCAGAACGAAATTGGCGGCGAGTTGCCCACGTCTGCTGTTGGCGAAAACGGAGTCGACGCGCACCCTACCCGTCCTAAACCTGTCCGCATACACAACTTTTTGTCGTCTGGGTACCCAGTTGCGACGGTTGTCCCCCCAACGGCGAGGATGTGTGA